CGATCACTTCAGGACTTTTTACCTGTAACCAGTTCCTGGTACTTGCTGTTCCTGCACCTGGTGGCTCTTTGTCAATGTTTTTTTTTTATACTTTATCTATTGGAAGAAATTTTTATAGGTATAACAGAAGGCACTCAGAAAAATAGATATAAAAAACTAAACTAAAAATAAAATAAAAAACAAAAATAAATTAAAATTAAAAAATTAAAAAAATTATTTAAATAAAAAAGGGTAAATAAAATAATAAATACATTATTTAAATAAAATAAAAATTATTTAAATTAAACAAATAATAAAATAATACAAATCCTGGTAATAAAATACTAATAAGGAGATAATTTTTTTTTTAGTTTTTGTGAAGAGAAATGACCATAACAATACTGATCAATGCCTTTTTTTTCGGTCCTTATTTATTTTTTTAAACCAGAAACAGCCAGGTTTTGGTGAGATGTCCTAAAGTTCCAGGGTCAGCTGATCGGTTCCGTGCTCTTCAGTCCAACCACGTGGTCCACAGATGATGGACTTAGACACAGATCCCTGAGTCCTCGTCTCTCTTTTCTGAATGAGCGCTCTAATCTGATCTGGTCCAATCATGTGAAAAAACCCGCCACGAGCTCCCGGTCTCTCTGAGTGTGCTGCGCTCTGATTGGCCGGATTGATCTGTAGCATTTAGCTGATTAGACTGTGGTGGAAAATTCCACGGGTGTTTCTGCTCAGTGGTTTTGATGAGCCGTAAAAATGACCAGCACGGGGTCTCACACACACACACACACACACACACGCTGCAGAGACGTAACCACATCAACACCAAACATTTGTTGATGTTTTTCTTTCAGCAGCTCATTTACAGGAACAGCATGACTCAGACCTGGTCAGGGAGGTGTTTTTAAAGATCTGACAATCTCATAAATTCAACGAAGCTCTTCAACCACATCACCCCCCCCCCCCCCCCCCTCCTTTTCCTCCCTCCTGACTGTCATTAAAACATGTGAAAAGGATTAAATCTATTAAAGAACATTCCTGCCTGGGTTATTAGACTTTAGCCAAATTCAGAATTAAATGTTTCCTGCAGCAGCAGCAGCAGCAGCAGCGTCGTCGACGCGGTGACTCCCTGGTGTCAGTTACAACAACTCCCACAGGTACAGACCAGAAACACAAGGACTATTATTGAGCCACGGTGGCATCAGATCAGAATGTTCTGTTCTGTTCTGTCCCGGCCCACCCCCCCCCTCCCTTCGACCTGGACTGGTGTCAAGCCGTTTGTCCTCCTCCACCTCCACCCTCCGCCTCACCCCTCTCCCCTGCCTCCGTCTGCCTCCTCACATCTACTTCACAATTATGGCCTGTCTGGAGCGGTGATGATCACAGCAGCGGTCTGAGCAGGGACCTGAACCCATGATGGATCAGACCGGGCTGATGCTGCTGATGCTGCTGCTGCTGCTGCTGCTGCTGTGGTCACGTGGGCCAATCAGAGTAAAGTTCAAGACCCAAACAGATTGGATATTAAATCTTCCGTTAGCGCCAGCGGTCACTTCTTACAGCAGCGGACTTTCAGGACAGACAGGAAGTGCTAACATTTAGTCACCTTGAGTCAGACGTGCTAACACACCTCCAGGAAATAGTCCAGTAAAATAAGTCTTTATTTTTGGGAAACAGTTTCCTTTTCACTAACTGGTATTTGGATGTTATTGATGAAGATGTGGTTTAGATCCAGTTTGTTTCCTTTTCATTCGTTTAATCAGAATTTTTTAATGTAATTATTGTCAAACTTTTAGCTGTTTTTAATGGGACTTTATTGATTAGCTTTGATTAGCTTTTTGCTCATTTTTCTACCCATATAAAAGGTTATTACCATGTTGGGCTAACTTGTTAGCTAACTAGCCTACTCACTCACCATTTGCGTTCTGTAGCTCTTGCGACAATCCTTCAACTTTAGTTACCTTTTGTCCATCATGCTAGCAAGCTATGCTTCTTGTTTAATTCCATTCTAAAACGTGGGCAGGTCTTTGGCCCCCGACCCCTGTGTTGTTCCTTTGTTGTGTTAAAGACTGTGTGTCAGTACCGATGTCACTGACCCCAGAATTTTACCACATGCTCCGTAACATCAGACACTCGTTATCTCTTCATGTGACACCGTCGTCGAGTAGAAAACACAAAAATCATTGTTGGTCCTGGTTAATACTAGAATGTTTGGAATTTTTACGGCGTGCACTTCCCCGAGGTCACTGATAACAACGCAGTAACTCTGCAGAAACACCGACAACTGGGTTTGACTGGACAACAGGACAGACGACCATGAAACAGCTTGTCATACCATCATACCGTCATACCATCATACCGTCATACCACGACTTCAACAGTACGTTTTGGGTGCAGTGTGTTCCTGTTTTTTTTTTTACCTCCAGAACAAAAATATCGTGACCTACGTGGACTACAGGCCACTATTGCATCATGGGTACTGTGGGTTGACCCTCCCCCCCTCCTCCACCCCCCCCCGACCCAAAAAAGATATGAGCTGCAGCTTGTGTGACAGAGCTAATGTTGATGTGAGTCAGAGAGGTGACGGTGTCTGCAGAGTCATGACGCTGGGACACGGGGTCATGTGACCAAGGTATTAGAGACGGATCTGTCCTCCTGAAATAACCTGGATGGAAGAGTTTACGTAGAGAGGAATGAGAGCTGGGAACGCTGGTGCACGTGGGGACAGAAGATGGATTTTTCTACTAGGATTTAAAAAAAAACTTCAGTTCATCCTTCAGTTCAGTGTTAAATACTACAAAAACACAAAAATACTTTTTCTAAAATATCTGTGGAATATGAAGTCTCATTTGTGTAGTACCACTCCTGACCAGCAGGGCCACGCTCCCAGCATCAAGGCCAAGACTTAGGAGCTGGATGTGAATCAAAAACCTCTCTTAAAAAATTGGCTTGATTTTCACCAAGACTCCCATTGAATTCTGTGAGTTTAATAATTGGCTTGATTTTCACCAAGACTCCCTTTGAATTCTGGGAGTTTAACGGGTTCACAGGAGGGAGAGAGGGAGGGTGAGAGAGGGAGAGAAGGTGAGACGCTGACTCAGAGAGACAGGCAGGAACATCCAGCTCTGAGGCTCGTCCAGCTTTAGGACTCAGTCTGTCAGAGTGGAAAACGTCTTAGCAACAAAACTGATCCTGTGATTTACAGCCACGAACGCCACCGAGTGTCCCCTCCTCAGGTGTCCCTTCCTCAGGTGTCCCCTCCTCAGGTGTCCCCCCTCTCTGTCCCTGTAGAGACGAATGAAAATGACAAAAAAAAAAGAAAAGTCAAACAACATGACACAAAGAATTTTCTTTTCCAAAAATAATTTGATTTTTTAGAAATAAAACATCGTTCATGGCAGTCAGAAGAATCTAATGCTAAATGGATAAATTCTAACTTAACTTTTTTTTTTTTTTTAATTAAAACAAAACAAAAACTAGTTCCAGTCCCTGTTGATCTGGAACTATAAACAGTTCTTGATGATTCTTCATATTGTGTTATTAGCATTGACCCTTTATCTTAGCCTAGCGTAGCCTGTGCTAAGCTAATCCAGGTAGGATCTCACAGAGACGACATCACTGTACAGGTAGAAGCTCGTTGTCATTAGTTCCAGAATGTTCCCCTGTGTTCTGGTGTTTTCTTATGCGATGTGTGATGTCACCCTGAGCTTCTGGAGCTGGAGCGTCGCCGACACATCAAATGACCAGCAGCTCACAATCCGCTCCATTGTCGGCCTTCCACGGAGCGGCCACAGCAGCGTCTCTGTGTGAAGGTGGCGTCTCCTGCAGCCCAGCAGTGGAGGTCAGCTGACAGCAGCGCGACACAAAGGCACCATTCACACACTGACGTAGCCGCCGCCTGACTCCTCAGCTTCAGACTTCTCTGTCAAACCTCACATGGTATATTCAACATAGAAGCTTGTCAAACTCAAGGTCTGCGGGCCCGACGTGGCCCGTCATGTCCAAAGACGTGGCCACCCAGAGCGTGTGGTTTAAAACATGCTTACAGCAAAGTAAAGTCAGGCTAAAATGCTTTTGACCTGTTCTAGGTCATCTATTTGGCGGACCAGATTAAGAGGCCAAAAGGGGCCGCATCAGGCCCCTGGGCCGTAGGTTGCCCATGCCTGGTCTACCTCCACCCTCAGCTGAGTTATACCTGGACTTCAGTCCTGCAGTCGACCATGTGATCCACACACCTGACTGTGATGAAGATGTTCATCTAACACCGTGTCCTGCAGACGCACAGGAAACTGGGAAAAATAATACTTTTCTTCTTCTTCTTCTTCTTCTTCTTCTCCTGACTGCGACCACGTCAGCTGCTGTGACTGGTGCTCTTCAGACCAACAATGGTAGAATTCACCAGGCCACAACAG